CCGCAGATGGTAATATCGTCGAGATAAGCGTATGTTTCCTGCAGCTTTTCTCTCCGTATAATACAATCGATAGTCCGCTGAAAACATGACACCCCATTAGAGACACCAAAGGGGATACGTCGAAATTGGTATAAATTTCCAAGTGCTTCAAACGCCGTAAATTTCTTTTCTTCAGGTAAGATGGGTACTTGATGATAGGCGCTTTTTAAATCTATTAGACTAAAAAACTTATTTTTGGCGACTTTTGATACTAAGTCCTCTATGCGTGGAAGAGGGTAAGCGTCCAGCTGAGTATAGCGATTGATTGTTTGGGAATAGTCAATAACTAGTCTCTTTTTGTGAGTTTCGCTTCTAGTTATAAGGACCTGTGCTCTCCAAGGAGATTTGCTCTCCTCTATTACACCTTCCGTTTATAATTTCTCGATTTCAGCCTTGATAAACTTGCTATCCTCGTCGTTATATCTACGTGATGTAATAGCGACAGGTTTGCAATCCGGAGAGATAATGGGGAAAAGTGACACAGGCGGTACCGATGCCTCTGCTACGTTACACACATGCAGATTGTTTTTAGGACCGCCAAATGAAAATTCTAATGATGAATGCTCTTGAAGTACATCGTGACCGATAATTAAATCGGAGCAAAGATTTTTGACTATAAGAAGATTCACATTATCGTACTTATGATCTCCCAAGGTAATGGACTGTGAAGTTTGGCTTTCGACTTTAGAGGTGTGACTCAACGAGGCCATGGAGAATGTGGCGTTGCAGAAGTCTTTTTTGAATCCGCACTTGTTGGCGAATTTTTCGTTAATAAAACTTACCGAGCTACCGGTGTCTAAAAGGGCTTCAGCTCTAAACCCGCATATAATGGCCGGAACGGTTGCTTTGTGTAAAGGGTGAGGCGAAGCAGCTGTGATACACACTGTTGAATTTCGCCTGCTTGCGACCTGAGGGACAAGAGACTTGGCGCTTTTACAAACAGTGGCGAGGTGTCCCTTTTTGTTACACAGTTGACATGTTTCTTCACGAGCCGGACAATTTTTGCGAAGGTGTAGTTGACCACCACAAAAAAAACATTTTCGCCGATTGAAGGAGGCAGCAGCAACATGATCCCCGTTGAGTACGTTTTGTTGAGCTTGGTGGTTGGTCGTAGTTTGTTCGTCTGTGACCGCGTTCACGGCTATGGAGTTGAAACTTAAGGAGTTGACTTCAGCTGTTTCCAAAGATAGAGCTTGGTTGTAAGCTTGATCGAGGGTCAGCGTTAAGTTTTCAAGGAGTCTTTGCCTTGTTGAGTTTGAGGAAATTCCTGATATAAATGCGTCTCGTACGCAGTCGCTTCTATTTGTATCAGCATCAACGGCTGCGAACTCGCAGTATTTCGACAATTGCTTTAATGCCTGCAGGTAAGTTTCAATATTCTCGTCAGAGCGTTGCCTTCTCGTAGCGAGTGCATGTCTTGCAAATAGCACGTTTTTGGGCTTAACGTAGAGTTTATCCATCAAATCAACTGCTTCCCTGAAGCTTCGTGCTTCACTGAAGTAAACGTATACGCTCGGAGAGACTTGGTTTATCAGGAGTCGATGCTTTGTCTCGTCCCAAGATGCTTGAGTTACCCCGTCCATTTCGGCCGGCTCCTGAGCAGCGATGAAACTTTCGAATCTTTTTCGCCAATGCTCGCAAGCACGAGTAGCGGAGTTATCCGATGGTTCGATGTCGAAACTTTCAGGACGCAAGTATTTATCCATTCTTCTTTAATATAATTTTGTTCAATAAATTGATATGAAACTCGAAATAAAACACCTTTTGTATTTTAAGGTTTCAATGAACAAAATGTAACACGTGTGCGGTAATTTACAGAATCAGTAAATAGGCTGAGTAGAATTGTATAAAGTAAGGTAGTTGCCATATCAACATTAATTACTCATTGTAATAATAATAATAGGATGTTTAAAAATATCAGAGACGTCGCAAAGTTCTTGCAAATGACGCATATGTTAGAAAATTTGCAACCTTGCGACCCTGCTGATTTCTTTTTGACCGCCTTTAAAAAAAGGAGGAGGTTATCAGTTCGTCGGAATATTTTTTTATTTTTATTTTTATGTATGTTACCGTATATCTTTGGACTTTTTATCGGAAAGGTGGTACCCCAAGGGTGGTCCCACACTAATTTTGTTTAGATTCGATAATTGGATCGTGAAGAAATTAACGATAACCTTAATTTTTATATGGGAATTGAAGTCGGTTTTGTTTTTTGCTTAAAAATTACTTATGTATGACAACTTTCTTGCGACAAAATTGCGACACTGCGATATTATTTGAGCTGGCAATCATTGTAAAGTCAAAGTCGCGAAACATAAATGTTTATTTATATCGTCTACCAATACTTCAAGAAAGAGTATATCAGTTCCGGCTGCTTCGAAATATAATTGTAAAAACCATGATTCAATAATACAAGGTTATGTAATTTGTGACAGCTAAAATTTTACACTCCTTTATTTAGATTATTTTGGAAGTAGGAGAAAGGGAAAGAATGTGATCGCCTTTTGCGAAGACGGTAGTAGAAAGGTACTACAAAAAGTATGCAAAGTATACAATTAGAAGTAAAATGTGTATTATTAATTCTATGCGAATTTGAAATATATTTGGTGTTTTAATGGAAATACTAAACAACACATAAAAATAGGGACATAACAGTTATAAGTTTTATAGCAAAAACGTTGCTCCATAACAGTTATTAGATGAGAAATATTTTTTATTTCGTCGATAAGAGTTATAACCCAACGTTAATTTTTTACGTTGCCTGATAACTGTTACGCGGGAGAAATATTTTTTCCGTTGCCGATAAGAGTTATTTCCCAACGTTTATTTTTTACGTTGCTGGATAAGAGTTATTTTACAACGTTTATTTTTTACGTTGTCTGATAAACGTTGTAAGATTAGGATATTGATGAAGATGGAGATGGAGAATAAGATAAAGATGATGAAATAAAAGTGAGAGAGAGAAATAACTATTATCAGATAACGTAAAAATAAACGTCGGGCAATAACTGTTATCACGCAACGTAAAAAAAAAAGTTGGCACTAACCGTTATCGACCAACGTAAAAAATAAACGTTGGGAAATAATTCTTATCAGCAACGGAAAAAATATTTCTCATCTATTAACTGTTATGAAACAACGGTTTCGTTAAATTTTAGAATTCAGGCAACGTTTTCAATTTGTAAATTCGAGATAGCAGTTATTTTTGGTCCCTCATAAAAACATGCATTTTTGATTTCAGTTATTCGTGATTTCCTGGAAGAAATCTAGAATACCGACGCTTCAGCTATGCAAAAACGAAAAATGCAGATCAATAGAACTTTTTATGCTCATTTCAACCATGCCAAAATTATTTGGCGCAAGTGAAAAATGAGGACGTTCTCTAGAAGCTTAAAGTTCAGTTTTTAGATTTTTTTTAATATTAATATCTTATGAACTATGTAACCGATTAAAAACCTAATGACGTCACCATGAAGATAATTAATTTTTCTTTCAGCTGATGTACATAATTTATAGCTTTTTTTTATTTTTAAACTAAAACCACTAAAAAACGAAAAAATTTTATTTTTTCATGAAATAACCTTTTTTGAAAAATCTGCATAATTAATGGTAAAGAAATTTATGTCATGTATTTAGAAAGTACAAGTTATTACTATTAATTCGATATTACATATTTTGTCATGATCTGCAAATAAACCTCTTATATATTCTTTTTTTTTACCTGCGCCAAATAAATTTGGTATCGTTGAAATCAGCGTAGAAAGTTCTATCAATCGGCATTTTTGGTTATTTTACAGCTAAACGGTCGCTATTCTACCCTTGTTCTAGAAAATTACGCAAACGAAGGTGATGCCCACGAATATTTAGTATGAAGAATTTTTGGTTTTACTACTAATATCAGTAGAAACTGTAGAGTAAGCAACATTCTGCACAAGTAAAGGAGCCGATTTTATGTGTGGAAGCGAGAAGACTGTTTTATTACAAAACCTTTCTACTTATTATTGAATCCTGTGTAAAAACCTTAATTTTTCACTGACATATACACGGCACTTTGAAGAAATGTGGCATTAGAAAAACATGCTATCCGGAATTGCTGTAGGTTGTTCATACAATTTTGTTCGCAACGTCGCCATTTCGCCAAAAATTCCAGTTTGCGACGTTTCATGAATCGCACTAGTGCTTCTTTGCATTTTTTTAAGGAAGCGAACAGATATTCCATCTACTCCATTTGCTGATTTATAATTAAAACTTTTTGTGGCGTTTATAACTTCCAAGGGATCACAATAACTGAAATTAAATGGGCTGCCTATTTCTGTATTTGGTTCGTCAATGCAGTGAGTATTCTGGGATATTGCTACTACTGCTGTAAAATAGTCATAGAATGACGCAGCAAAAGTTGCACAAGGCAATCAAACTCAAGCGAAAGGTACAGACATTTATTTTCGAAAGCAATCAACTAAAGATTCAGCAATTGGACATTAATTGGGAAAGCCTTTTAAAGCTTCTGAAGCACTATTCTTGGCTGCTAATTACCCACAAGTGCTTGTATAAAAAGTAACGAGTAAAGTAACGATGCGAAAGATACGGGTGTCGGTTGGATTAGTAACGAATACATACTAGAGCTGCAAAACTATCTATTGTACTATCGATAGTATCGACAGTTTTATTAGGTTTGTTCGTCGAGCAAAAAATTTGTACGAATTTGTACGAATTATCACGATTTTTGCCCAAATCGCGTTCGTGCAGACCAAAAAATTATCCAACACTCAAAAATTGTGAGAGCAAAGTGACAGTTCTCTTGGAGAGAAGTTGCAAATTCTTGCTGGAAAAAATTTTGCCAGCAAGAATTTGCAAACACGAAAAACATGTGGTTGTGGCGCATGGTTGCATTTTTGTCTACAATAATTTGAATAAATTAGTTCGTTAAATTTAAAAATTTATAAACACGAGCGATTTTTTTATGAAAAAAGGAAGTAAATAATTGTTGATATAATTAATTTAGTTAATTCCAATGATATGAACTTAATTCGGCTGAAAAAAATGGTATTCGCAATCGGAATGCAATTGCAACCAAAGTCGATTTAAGAAACCCGACAGCTAGTACGATGAAGAAATTGAAATGTATGTTAAAGAAAGTCAGAACAACAAGAAATATACATGTATATCCTGTTTTTGGCCATCCGAAAGAATTTTAAAAATTCTATAAACATTTTTTATGTTTGAAATGCAACCGTGGACGCCAGCTGGCATCGAAACTTGCAAATTCCTGCAAATTTGCGTTCGTGCAGAAATTCTCAACATGAGAGAGAATTTGAGAGAATTTTTTCTTACTCTCTGATATTTTGAGTGTTGGATAATTCTTGCTGGATTTTCGACGAACAAACCTATTTTCGGAAAAACATCGATTGCTTTCGGGCGATAGTCGATAGTTTCGATAGTGCCGGTGCATTGATTTTGTGATCTTCACTTAAGTAAGTGACACTGTGAATTGAACTAAGGAAAATATTTAGAATTTTACGCTTAGAATGTAATATTTATACTTATGTACATATGTGCAGTACAAATTTATATTTACATATGACCCAAATCGCCGAAAACGAAACCCAGGGGAAAAATTTTTTTCTCAGGTTTCGCAGATTTTGCATTATATCTGGGTCATACATATTCTAAGGTATCGGACAACATCAATATTATAAAGAATCTCCTTCTCTCACAGATGAAAATTCACTTAATCTTGAAACACCTTTAAATAAACGAAAATTAAAAAAGCACAATATGAAACTAAAGAGTAGTTTATATTTACGGTCCACCACTTTTTTGCATTATACTTGCCTCTCTTCGCTTGCCTTGTATTATTTTGAAGTTAATAAAAAAAGTATTCTACAAAAAAATCAGCGATTAGCTTTCTATATGAAAATCAAGTCGACAGTATATTTTTATGTAATGTAACAGTCCAAAATATTAAATTTTTTTTTGTCGCGATTAAAAAAAGCGAAAATATAGTATTCTTCGAGCATTTTCGGCCTTATTTCACAGTTAAATCAAATAGTTCCATATACTCTTCATTACCAATATGTTTTCGGTGGAAGGCTATTTGTAACGTAACAGTCATTTGAACTAATTTAATTTTTAGGTAACCTTTTTTTCCTATTTAGTTAAAGATAGGGCTCATTTTACAAGCAACATTCAACGTGTCCCATAGTTAAAACTGTTATTTTTCTAACTTATATAAATTGAGAAGACAAGACAAGTAGAAAAATAAAAAACGCGAGAATTATATTATTCCAAAATGGAACGAACTCAAAAGAAGCGAAACAAGAAGCTGAAACAAGATTTTCGGATTAAATAATAAAAAATCTATTGGAATTATTTCGGTTATTTTTTCTAGTACTACTATTATTCTACAAAATGCCGAGTCCTCGAATCTAACATTTGAAGGGTACTAAATGGCATTGAGCAAACAAAATAAGCCATTAAAGCCGTTTTTCGTGAAATTAAACGCGCAACATATTGGCGCAGTTCTAAGATCGAGTTAAGAGTTCTACGCAGAAAATTACTTCGGAAACGACCTACATCTGCACAGCATCAGAAACTTCGAAATCTGTTTTCATAATTATCAAGTTCTTAATTTCTTTGAATTACTTGTCACATCGCAAGACTACTGAATTCATGCTACTTATTGCATAAAACACACTAAGAGCGATTT